TTGTTTTCCTCAAGCCTGTGACCTGCAGTCAGAAGCTGATAAGTTTTTACTTCTAAATTATGGTTAATTAACATTCAGCTCAGGACAGCTTGATAATCCCCATTTAAAAGAGCGCTTGATAATCCCCATTTAAAAGAGCCTACTATGTGCTGGGTTAGGCTATAATTAATATATGAGTTAAAAGTGCCCCGACTTGCTTCTGATTATGAGGTGTAGGCCTGTCCTCCAACGAACCAAGTTGTCTTTGCATTTATTGATGCCACTTAGTTGATTTCCCATTGCAGGGAAACCCAGAATTACCCGTGGCTTGCCATTTTCACTTTCCAATGTATGAGAGAGGTGGTCAGAGCAAAGTGGAACTGACATGGTTTCCTCACGAAAAGCACTGGAGGGCACCTATTCCAAGTCGGCAAATAAGCCACCTTCAATATTTGATCCTTTGGACCCCTTGGACATGGCTCTTTCAGTGAAGCCCTGGTGCCAGGTGCTGTTAAGCACAGGATGCCAGGAAGTGGCTCGACAGCCTTTATCTAGGCAGTAAAGACAAGCCATTGCCAGGCCGCCTAGTATGGGCTGGTTACTTTCTTGAGGTAGTGGCCATTTATCAGGGTTAAATGTGTCTTCTCTTTAGATGGGGCTCTTAAGGACAAAAGTGGAACAGTGGCTCTGGCTGAACCAGAGAATCTCCAATGGGGTCAAGGGGTGGGGGCCTAAGGGACGTTTTGGTTCCCTTAGGTTGTAATTTGGCATAATTTGGATGAGGCTTTACTTTTTTCAGACGCATACGGTCTTATAGTGACTGTAGACAGGGCCAAGACTTCGTGGGGGGGACAGGTTTGGGATTAGCCCTTTTCACACCAATGACATTTATCCGAGAAGAGAAATTTAGGAGCCGAGCCAGGTCGTGGTGAGAGGTTCGGAGGAAAGGGCTAACTCCGCCAGCAGTGGACCCGCCACAAAGGCAGCGCTCTGCAGCCGGTAGGCGGCGCTATCCCCACTCGGACCCGCCCCTCTGAGCGTGCCGCGGGGCAACCAGAGAACCCCAGCCCGGGAAATGTCCCTTCCTGCCCTTCTATCCTGGGGTGGGGGTCAGTGTCACACGGAGCCGGAACAGCGGCCTCGAAAGAGGGGGCGCTGGATCCCATATCCCGCGGAACGTCGGATCCGGGGGGAGGCGCAGTGGCCTCGGGTTAGGAGTGGGGTCCCGAGCGCCGATCTGGCGCGGCCGAGAGGCGGCTCTGATCCCAGGTCCTCGGAGGGCCCGCGGACCTCGGGAGGGGGTGCCGGATCCTAAGCCTTCCACGCCGCTTCCCGGGAAGTTTCAAGTTTCAAAGTCTTGGCGGAGGGGTCGGGGCTTCCGGAACCGGAGTGGTGGAGAGGAGGGGCCGAGCGGCCGGAGCTACGCCATGGAGGAGGGGGCGCCGCGGCAGGTGAACAGCGCCGGGAGAGGACAGGCCGCGGGCGCGGGCTCGGGCGCGGGCCATGCGGGGCGGGAGAAGTCTCATTCACGGCCCCAGGCGCTGGGAGCTCCTGCCGCATCTCCAGCCCTGTCCCCTGTTCCTTCCCAACTCCTGCCCCGGGCCTCCCTACCCCTTCGCAGGGCATAACTGAGCACTGGGGCTAAGTCTTTCGTACCTTCTGGAAACGTTCCCAAATCGCCTCCATGTGACTCAGAACCTTTAGCCAGGTAGCCCACGAACATGTCTGGATCCTCAATGAAAGCCACTAGGGTGGGCCCCAAAGTTTCCCCAAATCGGTTCTTCCAGGTAAGTCTCTAAGGCCAATGGGAATCGGCGGGGGAAGCAAAGGGGGGCCGTGCGGGCACTTTGGGGAGCGACCTAGAGGAAGAAGAATGTGTGTGCTCAGGGAGAAGGGACTGGGAGGGGCCAGTCCCTGCGCTCTTGGGGGTGGGGGTCCTTCCCAGAGCACATGGGCACGCAGAGAGTGTGCATGCGAGGCGGAGAGAACCAGTGCCTGCGCGGGAACCTTTGGGTACACAGAGGGTTCGGCCCTAATGGCGAGGGGGCGGGTTCCTGCCAGAGCTGGCAGTAGTGCTTGTGGGCACAGGGGCCAAGGCTGTGTGCATGTCTGTTACTGGAGGGAGACGTGGTGTTCTAGCCCAGAGCAAATGGAGGTGTGTGTGCACATGGCAGGAATCCAGCCCTGAGCAGGCAGGACTATAGGCCATACTCAAGGGTGAGACGGCCTCAGTAAGGCTCCTTGAGTGCTCCCACTGCAGCCGTTTAGGCAACCTTCAGGGCTCTGTCTGCCCCTCCCTCGGCTTTCCTCCGGAGGTCCCTTGACTGTTCCAGCCAGTGGCTTGTACACATTTTCCAATTTCCTGTGAACCTCCGCCCAGCAGTGGCAGCTGGGTGACTCAGGACCCTGGTGGCCGGGCCCCCAGCTCCATGGGATCTTTGTTTGCTCAGGCCTTTGGCTCGGGCCCTCTTGCCTAGAGCCGTCAAAGGATTTCCTGAGCCCCGCCCCTGCCCTCTGACTGCTGGGCCAGCAGGCCACGAAGGCTTGGGGTGGTGGGTCCCAGAGGCCAGGGTGTTCACCCCTTCCACTAGACTCAGGAGATGGAGAGCAGAGAGGTAAGGTGGAGGCCTTGCGGGAGTCGTGGGGAGCATCATGGGTGATCCTGGGCTTAGGTCAGCTTTGGCACCGGTTGGTTTGAAACGGCCTCTGGGAATGAGGTTTTCCTCTTCCTTGCTCCAACCTGGGGTAAAGTCATGAGAAAGCCTTCCACTTCCTCCCAGGAGCTGAGCTAGGAGTGGGCCCCCTGGAGACCTCCCCAGCCCCTCTCTGTGCCTCTGCTTTGCCATCTGAGACATCAAGGGAACAGCCCTGGCCTCTACTCAGGCCTTCATCTGCCTCTGACCTTGGGTGACCTTAGCTTCCTTTCTGGCCCCATATCTTAGCCTGCACCCCAGCCTTAGAGCAGCCTGATGAAGTGTGGCTGCCAGAGAGTGACTGGGACCCAGGAGGTGGTGGTATCTCCTCCTTGTTTCTACTTTGAGCAGATTACTTAACCTTTTTCTGTGTCTTAGTTTTTTCACCTGTAAAATGGGGATAGTAACTGCACATCTCCTGGGGTTGTCAGGATTGACAAGTTAACATATGCAAAGCTCTTAGAACAGACCTGGCACCCAGTAGCATCACATGCACATTGAAAATTGCTCCCCTCATCCATCTCTCTGATACGGAGGACTGAAGCCTGTGCTGGATAAATAGCTTTGGGGTTTCCACCTGGCTTAGGGATACTAGCTCTATAGTCAGAGACGCTTCCCACACCCTGTGTGTCAGTCCTGGGTGCTGTCCATGCCTCCCTCTCCCTCTGTGGTGAGCTGAGGCTGGTGGCAGTGGGGACTGAGTGTCATGGCTCCTCTGCCATTCCACAGCCTGGGGTGGGCCACCAGCCCCCGGAGGATGAGAAAGAGGTGATCCGTCGGGCCATCCAGAAGGAGCTAAAAATCAAGGAGGGTGTGGAGAACCTGCGGCGGGTGGCCACAGACCGCCGCCACCTGGGCCACGTGCAGCAGCTGCTCCGATCCTCCAATCGCCGTCTGGAGCAGCTGCATGGGGAGCTGCAGGAACTGCACACTCGCATCCTGCTGCCCAGCCCTGGGCCTGGCCCAGCTGGTGAGTGAGGAGCCTGCGCAGACCCCTGGGGACAGGAGGCGACAGGCCGACCCACCTCCTTGGCCTTGGCCCTCCTCTGGTAGCCCATGCCCAGGAGGGGAAGGGAGGGAAGGCCCTAGGTGAGGGGTTCATGTGCCCCATCCTTCATGCACACAGAACCTGTGGCCCCGGGACCCTGGCCTCTGGCAGAGCAGCCAAGGGCCCGGCACCTGGAGGCTCTGCAGAGGCAGCTGCAGGTGGAGCTGAAGGTAAAGCAGGGGGCCGAGAACATGACCCACACGTATGCCAGTGGCACCCCCAAGGTAAGGCTCCTGGCCTCTGATGGGGAGGATTTGGCTCTCAGATTATTAGAGGAGGTGCTGACCAGCCTTGATTCTGATAGGGAAATGCAACTCAGCCATTGACCCTGCAAGGGAGACACAGTCCTAACCCTTAGTCTGATGCGGGAGGCACAGTCCTAAATCCCAGCTTTGTGGGGAAGGCATGGCTCAAACTCCTCGTCTAACAGAATGCACAATACTGGTCTAATGGGAGAATCCCAGCCCAAGTTCCCATTCTAGTAGGGAAGCCCCAGCCCCAGCCCCAACTCCCAGTATGACATGGGGAGCTTGACCTCTGCCCTTGTCTCATCTGATGCAGGAGGCTGTGCCCCAGACCAAGTCTAACAAGGGAGGCTTGGCTCTTTATCTGGCCTTCCAAGAGAGGCTTGGCTTCAACCCTGGTCTGCTGGGGGAGGCTTGGTTCCAGTCCCTGGCCTGACCAGGGAGGCTCTGGGCTAACATGTGTCATGACCCCGTAGGGGAGGAAGCTCCTGGCAGCTGCCCAGCAGATGCTGCGGGACAGCCAGCTGAAGGTGGCCCTGCTGCGAATGAAGATCAGCAGCCTGGAGGCCAGTGGGTCCCCTGAGCCAGGTGAGACCTTGGGAAACAGGATGGGGAGGGCAGAGCAGGGCACGGGCCTGAGGGCTGCCCCCTCCTTCCATCCAGGGCCTGAGCTGCTGGCAGAAGAGCTGAGGCACCGATTGCGCATCGAGGCTGCTGTGGCCGAGGGTGCCAAGAATGTAGTGAAGCTGCTGGGTAGCCGGCGAACGCAAGACCGCAAGGCACTGGCCGAGGTCAGACCATGGTCCCCTTCTGTTGCCACTCCTCTCTGAGGGTCTCCTTGTTCCCATACCACCCTCTGCAGTGGCAGGAGACACAGTGGACTGGCCGTGCAGGGTATCAGTGAGGAGATAGGAGGCACGTCCTGCCTCGACCTCATCGGGGGTGTCTCCAGGTGGCCACTGCCCTCCCCACCACACCCATACCCCGTGGGCCTGTGTCCCCTATGCAGGCTCAGGCCCAGCTCCAGGAGTCCTCCCAGAAACTGGACCTCCTGCGGCTGGCCTTGGAGAAGCTGCTGGAGGGACTGCCTCCTGCTCACCCTCTGCGTGGCCGAGTGGCCCGGGAGCTGCGGACTGCTGTGTCTGGGAAGCCCCAGGCTTCAGGGACACTTGTGAAGCCCACGGCCGTGACAGGTAGCCAGGAGTCCCTCCTACTTCAGAGCTCTCCTTCCCTTCCAGAGAGGACCCTGAAGGACAGTGGGGAAGTACTTTGGTGAAGGGTTGCAGCCCTGGCCCCACCACCCCCTAGCTGTGTGACCTTGGGCAACTGACACCCTTTCTTTAAACCTCAGTATATCCATCTGTAAAATGGGGATGATAACAGCACCTACTTCATAGGGTTGCTGTGAAAATTCAGCGAGTTGTTGCATGTGAAATGCTAAGTACTCTGCCGGCACAGTTAGCACTCAGTCAGTGAAGCAATTATTTAAGTGAGTAACCATAATAATGCTTAAAATGCCAGTGTTGGGGAGCTCAGAGCCCTGGAGGCCCTGGTACCCAGTCTTGGGCAGCTTGGACTGTTAGAAAGTTCTTTCTTAATCCTGAGCTGGATCTGACTCCTTGTAGTGGCAGCCGGATTGCAATCAACAAATGATCTGAGAGTGTCAACTTTGGAACCCTTGAAATGCCCACCAGGAGAGCCCAATGCCTTCCTGCTCAGAGCTGATGCAGGGGTAGACAGGCCACATGCCACTGTGAGCAGAGCTGGGAAGGGCCCCCTCACCTGGCCTTGGCGCATCCGGAATGCTTCCTGGAGGAGGTGGTGTCTGAGCTTGGCCTTGAAGGGCTTATGAGAGCTGGCCAAATGGACAAGCAGGGGAAAGGGCTTGTTAAAGGGCCTGGAATTGAGCTACTTGGGGCTCAGGATACCCAGTATCCTGTCTGATGGCTAAACAACCCAGTTCCCTGAGTTGTTCCTTCTAAGATGATTTTCTACCCTGGGCGCTGCTTGTTTTGTAAGGTCTCTTGGAGTGTAACCCTAGGCCTGGACTCCCTAAATGGTGCTCTTAGGCCCAGTGTATGTCCTCAAAGGTTTCTAGAGTCCTACTGCTTCCTCTACCCTTTGAGGGACAAAACTCTAGGGATCCTAAAAATGAATCCACTTGGTTGTCAGAACACTCTTTGTACCCATTTGGGAGATGAGGCAGAGCTGGGACTCATTTCCACCATACAGATGGGGATTCTGAGGCCTGGAGAGGAGGGGGGACCGGACAGGCAGCCGGGCTTCCTGCTCCCCAAGCTCTCATCCCTGCCATGGTGCTCCCCAGGCCCTGAGCAGCATGTCATCAAGCACTGTGGCTCCGTGCTGCCCGGCTGAGGCCTCAGTCTTGCCCTTTTGCTTGAGTGTCTCTGCTGCACCCAACATGCATGGAGGGTGCTCAGGAAGAGAGGGCCAGTTGCTTTACCTGGAGGGTGGCAGATGGCTGCCAAGGCCTAACATGGGCAGGGGCTGGGTTAGCCATCTCCAGGAGAAGGTAGTGTTCCTGGGGCGTCAGGGGTCCATTGATAGTGGCAATGGGAAGATGGCACCTGACGATGTTCCCCTCCATGCTCCCCACAGGGACACTTCAAGTCCGCCTCCTGGGCTGTGAGCAGCTGCTGACAGCTGTGCCGGGCCGTTCTCCAGCAGCTGCGCTGGCTGGGAGCCCCTCCCAGGGCTGGCTTCGGGGCAGGGCCAGGCAGCAGCGTGGTAGAAGTGAGCTGGCCAGTGAGTAGAGGGACGCAGGGAACTGGGGTGCAGCAAAGGACCCTCATACCTGGCCTGCCCTGAGTCCCAGCTCTGGCCCTGCAGGCGAGGTGCTAGCTGTGCTAAAAGTGGACAATCGTGTCGTGGGCCAGACAGGCTGGGGGCCGGTGTCCAAGCAGTCCTGGGACCAGAACTTTGTCATCCCCCTGGAGCGGGTGAGGATGGCTCTTGTGAGGCCAGGGGTGGCCTTGGGCTATGGGGTGGAAGGCTGGCCAGGTAGGGCTGATGCCATGCTCCACCCTCAATCTGGCCTCCCTGATGTAGGCCCGAGAGCTGGAGATTGGGGTGCGTTGGCGGGACTGGAGGCAGCTATGTGGCGTGGCCTTCCTGCGGCTGGAGGACTTCCTGGACAATGCCTGTCACCAGCTCTCCCTCAGCCTGATGCCACAGGGACTGCTCTTTGCCCAGGTGCCCACTGGCCCCTGCCCACTGATCTCATGGGCCCCTGGCTCCCATCAGAGCTAAAAGGGCCTGTGAGAATGCGACCTCCCTGCACAGAGGAATAGAAATTGAGGCCCGGGGGGAGGAGGTCTCCAAGAATGGATTTGCAGGCTGCGGGAATCTCTGAGGACTTCATGGGAGTCTAGAGGCCTGTGTCCTTGTCCTGACTGCCCTGCCTCATGTGTGTCTCTGGACAAGCGCCCCTCCTCTCTGGGCCTGTTTCCCCACTGGTACCAATGAGGACGTTGAATCCATCCCTCTGGGCCCTTCTGGCTCTTGCATTATTGACACTGGAGGCTCAGGCTGGGATCCTGGAGGTTAGGGAGGTGCCTGTGGCAGATGGGTAGGAGGGGACTGTTCCGCAGCCCTGCCCCCTGTCCCTGCAGGTGACCTTCTGTGACCCTGTCATTGAGAGGAGGCCCCGGCTGCAGAGGCAGAAACGCATTTTCTCTAAACGCAGAGGTGTGGACAGGAGAGGGCTGTGTGTGGAGGGAACAGAGCACGGGTGTCAGGGAGCCCTGGGACTGAACCCCCTCTTTTGCCCCAGGTCAGGACTTCCTGAGAGCTTCCCAGATGAACCTCAGCATGGCGGCCTGGGGGCGCTTGGTCATGAATCTGCTGCCCCCCTGCAGCTCCCCAAGCACAATCAGCCCCCCGAAAGCATGTCCCCAGACCCCGGCTACACCCCGGGGGGCCGCTGACCTTGCCTCACCCAGGTGAGGAACCACCTCGCCCCAGGCTGCCTGCTTTTCAGCCTCCACCTCTCCAGGTGCCATCAGTGTCTGTCTTTCTGTCCCTGTTGCTCATCTTACCCTCTGTCTGTCTCGGCACGGCTGTGTGTCCGTCCCCCCAGCTTTTCTGTCTGTCTGTCTGTGCCCCACCATGTGTCTGTTTTCTTTCCACAGTAATTTCCCCCCCAAGAAGACCCCCTTGGGAGAAGAGACAAGGCCCCCACCCAAGCCCCCGCGTCTCTACCTGCCCCGGGAGCCAACCCCTGAGGAGACGCCGGTGAGAGGAACATGGTAGCCCTGGGGGTGCTGGGGTGGCAGTGGCAGTGGCAGGGCTGGAGGGAGAGAGGGAGGAAGCTTGCTTTGTTCTGAGCCCCTCTGTCTCCACAGTGCACCAAACGCCCCCACATGGAGTCCAGGACTCGACTTGGGTCGTCTTTACCAGCCTCAGCCACCAGGTACGCCTGTCAGCCTCACTTCATGTTTGAGACAGTACCCACTCACTTGAGTGTTTGCGTGTTTGTTCACACAGCCCCTTGCGGCTCCTTGGCGTATTCACTGGCTCTCAGGTTCTCATTCTCTGGGGCCTGGTACTGAGCTCCAGCTGTATGCCGGACTCTAGGCAGCTGCTATCCTAGGAGCCCTCACCCAGGCTCCCCAGCCCCTGTTCCTCCAGCCTCATACATGGGGACAGCCCAGGACCAGGCATGGGGGTTTGAATCGGCTCTTGGTGGAGGCCCAGCCCTTGTCCCACGGGCCTTCCTGTGCCCTCTCTTGCAGGAAACCCCCCCGGCTTCAGGACTTCCGCTGCTTGGCCGTGCTGGGCCGGGGACACTTTGGGAAGGTAGTGGACTGAGGCGGGTGCGGTGGAGGGGGCTGGGCAGCCCTCAGCACATGAGCTAGGAGGACACTGATCGTGGGGTAGTGGGTGGGGGCAGAAAAGGCTCCTCTGTGCTGCCTACCTGGAGCCAGCCTCTCTCTGGTCCCCAGGTCCTTCTGGTCCAGTTCAAGGGGACGGGGAAATACTATGCCATCAAAGCACTGAAGAAGCAGGAGGTGCTGAGCCGGGATGAGATTGAGAGGTGTGTGGTGACACCATGGGGCACCTGGCCCCGGAGGGTGCCCAGGATGGCTGGCCTGGGCCGGTGGTACCAGAAGGCAGCGCAATGCTCCTGGGGCTTTGAAAAGCTGACCCTGGGGGCCACCCAGGCCTGGGTTCTCTTTTTAGTACCTGCGGTTGTTAACAGGGTGCCCTTGGACAGGTCCCCTCTTATCTCTGCACCTCAGCGTCCTCATCTGTAAAATGAGACCGTGCAGGTCCAATGACCCATGTGAGTCCCTGATACATAGAAACCATCACTCTACCTGCCTGGTACTTTGACCGAAGACCCAGTGAGCCTGGGGTGTCATGTGGGTGGCAGGGCATAGCCAACAGAGGTTTTCTTTCCCTTTAAAACCCACTCCCCCCACCTGCAGCCTGTATTGCGAGAAGCGGATCCTGGAGGCTGTGGGCCGCACGGGACACCCCTTCCTGCTCTCCCTCCTTGCCTGCTTCCAGACCTCCAGCCATGCCTGCTTCGTGACCGAGTTTGTGCCAGGTGGTGACCTCATGATGCAGATCCATGAGGACGTCTTCCCTGAGCCTCAGGCCCGGTGGGTTCCCATCCCTCTAGTCTGCCTCTTCCAGCAACCCTTCCTTGGTTCCCTACACCTGGCCCCCTTTCACCCTGCTTCCTCCAGGGCGCTCATCAGCAGAAGAGCAGGGGGTCAGGGGGTCCTTGGTTCAAATCCTGATGATCAATTCTCACAGCAGTTGTGTCCTTGGACTTCAGTTTATATAGCTATTGGGTTAATGTGTAGAATTGGATTAATAATCACTGTTTCATAGGCTTGTTGCATAGATGAGCGTAACATGTATGAACTGTTGAGCATAGGGGCCAGTGAACAGTTAAGTGACTGGTAGCTGGAGTTATTTCTTGCCCACCAGGGCTCTGTTGTCTGGTCTTGCCTTTCATCTCTGCCACTAGCTGTGTGACCCTGGACACGTCACTTACCTGGAGTCTCAGAATCTCATTTGAAAAATAGGCATCATGAGTTATCAACTGCAGGCTGCTGGGAGGATGCCGGGAGAATAAGGCATGAGAACACTCGGTATTGTCCCTGGCACAATCTAAAACACCCAGAAGAGTAGGCCTTTAGCAGGCAGCAAACTTGGGACCACCCTGGGGCTGATGTCTGGAGGAGCCTCACCCCCAGCCCCACCCCCAGTCCGAAGCATGAGGCTCATTCCAGTCTCTCACCCACATCTGACTCTGGCTGAGACATTCAGGGGTCCCCAGGCCATGGCCATCCTGGTGCCCTCCTGTCCCCCCATCCCCCCGCAGTCCTGGGCCTGAATTCCCCCGTATACCACCCCTCCAGGTTTTACCTGGCCTGTGTGGTCCTGGGGCTGCAGTTCTTACATGAAAAGAAGATCATTTACAGGTAACTTGCCCCAAGATGCTAGGGGAGGGGGCGAAGGAGCAGATGCTGCCCTCCTCATGGGCCGCTGTTCCCAGGGCCCCTTTCATCTGCCCCCCCTCACCCTCAGGGACCTTAAGTTGGATAATCTTCTGTTGGACGCCCAGGGTTTCCTGAAGATTGCGGACTTTGGGCTATGTAAGGAAGGTGGGTGTCTCCTATCCAGGTTCCCGTGTCCTCCAGCCTTCTTTCCCCAGTCCAGGCCAGCAGGGTGGTGGGCACGTGGCATCTCCCAGGAAATCTCCCCACCCCCACCCTCATTCCAGGGACCAGCTGGACGCATTGGCGCTTCCTTCCCAGCCCTAGCTAAAGAGCCCAAGCTTGCCCCTGGCCCGAGGGGAAGCCTGTGCTCAAGAGTTGCGAGAGGGCACTGGGTTCTGCTTTCTTTGTGACCTTGGCATGTGAGCTTGGCTGAGACTCAGCTCCCTCCTCCGTTATCCCACCTCCGAGGGTAGGGGGCAGGGCCTGTCATGGAATTCAGTACATGGAGCATTAGGGTTGGCTGTTGGTTCTTACAACCGCAGAAGTTTTTGTGGACTAGACACACTGAACTGGCATCGGTGTGGCTATTGGTTTACAGGGATTGGCTTTGGGGACCGGACGAGCACCTTCTGCGGCACCCCCGAGTTCCTGGCCCCTGAGGTGCTGACCCAGGAGGCCTACACACGGGCTGTGGACTGGTGGGGGCTGGGTGTGCTGCTGTATGAGATGCTGGTGGGCGAGGTGAGTGCTGGACCAGGGTTGCCAGGGCCTCTAGGTCGGGGTGGGGTGGGGATGGCCCATGCACCCTGCTGAGCCCCCATCCCTGCAGTGCCCGTTCCCAGGGGACACCGAGGAGGAGGTGTTTGACTGCATCGTCAATGTGGACGCCTCATATCCCCGTTTTCTGTCGGTGCAGGGGCTTGAGATCCTTCAGAAGGTAATCACTGCAGGGTCCAGGGCTGGGCTGGACGGCTACTGTGGCTCATGAGCCACCCTGTCACCACCCATCCTTGGGGCCCTGTGGCCCAGCTTGCTTGGGGTACTTGGGGAGGCGGCAGTGCCTGCGGTCCAGTGCCCTCAGGGATCACCTGTTCTCTTGCCCAGCTCCTCCAGAAGTGCCCGGAGAAGCGCCTGGGGGCAGGTGAGCAGGACGCCGAGGAGATCAAGACACAGCCTTTCTTCAGGGTTAGTGGCCAAGGTGGCAGTGGTCCCAGATGCCTGGCACAGTGGGAGGTGTTGAGGGACCACGTGGGCTGCCGTTCCTGTCATCTCAGTCACCTCTGCACTTATCCCCAGACCACCGACTGGCAGGCCCTGCTTGCCCGCGCTGTCCAGCCCCCGTTTGCGCCCACCCTCTGTGGCTCTACAGACCTGCGCTACTTCGAGGGCGAGTTCACGGGGTTGCCGCCTGCCCTGACCCCGCCTGACCCCCATAGTCCCCTCACTGCCCGCCAACAGGCCGCCTTTCGGGACTTCGACTTCGTGTCAGAGCGATTCCTGGAGCCCTGAGGGCCTCTCCTGGGGTCCCTGTCCCCTAGCCTGTTAGAGCCTCCCTCGCCCACCCGTCTGCCCAGCTGTGTGCCCTGCCCTGAGGCCCAGGCCTTGCTTGGTATTTATCAGTCCATGGGGCTGCTGTTGTGGGCTTGGCTCCATCACTGGGCAGGGTGCTCCCTTCCCCTCCTCTGCCTCCCAGCCAGACCTGCACCAGAGTCTGGCACAGCGAGGAGTAGTTTGGTTTGGTTTTTAATACTTGACTTGCTTTGTGGATTATTAAATTTATAAAACTGTGCACTGGAGGCATTCTGGTTTGGGGGGTGGGGTGGTCCCAGAAGCCTGAGGTGTTGGTGCCCCGGCCTCCCACAGGTGCTCCTTCTCGCCTTCTGTCTTTGGAGGCAGAACTGCCCACTGAGGCAGGGGCTCTGTTCACTCTGCTCTGAGGCCAGGGAGGGGTGGACAGAAGTGAGGACCGCCAGGCCCTCGGGCTCGGCCCTTCCAGTTTTCAGGCCTGAAAGGGTGGCCCTGCCTCCTGCGACCCTAAACAGCCTGGCTGCTGCCCTCCTCTTCCTCCTCCTCCTCGGCCCGGAGGGTCTCCCAGGACCTTGAGGGCCATCCACAGAAGAAGTGGGCCAGGTTGCGGGTCAGGCCGCGGTCGAAGGGGTTGCCGGGGCGCTGGCGGAGGTAGGCAATGCGGTGCGAGGAGATGAATTCCCAAGTGGTGGTGTTGCTGGCCACCAGGTAGAGGTGCGAGGTCAGGAGCAGGCTGGCCACCAACGAGAAGAGGGAGAGCAGCAGGAAGGTGGCGAACAGGAGCCCGCTGGACCGCAGCCATAGCCCCCAGGGCTGGGAGAACTGGAGGCCAGACCTGCGGGGCAGAATGGGGATGGTGCCCAGAGCTGGGGGAGGGCGGGCGCGCCCCAGGGAGCCCAGGTGGACAGGCCATTTGGGAGAGGGTCTCAGGCCCCTGAAGACGGAGCCCCGGCTCTCTACACACCTCGTGGGCCCATGGTGCCCACCGTCCCCCCACACCCAGGGCGGTGGTGAGACCCACCATGCCAGGTGCAGGCCCCACAGAAGCACCACCAGCTGCAGTGCCAGGTAGGCCACGAAGAGCGGATGGTTGCGCTCCCCCACACAGTTCTCCATCCAGGGGCAGTGGTGGTCGTAGCGGCGGACACAGCGACGGCACTCACGGCAGTGTCGGGCCCGGAGGGGCTGCTGTGGGCACGGAGGGAGTCAGGCTCAATGCTGGCTCCTCTCTGGACCCAACAGTGAGGGAGGGGAGGAGGGTGGGAGATTGGGACCTGAATCTGGGAGGCCTTCCTCTTCCTGGAGGGGTGAGGCCAAGGCTCTGGGGCAATAGGAGGTCAGAGAGTCTTAACCTTGCCCCTGACCCTTCCCGGGAGGCCCCTGCATCACCCACCAGCACCATGCAGTGTCTGCAGCGCCGCAGGGGGATGGCCTGAGGAACCATGGCTGTCTGCTCTTCCTTGACTTCCTCCTGAAAATGAGGGGCAATATAAGACGGAGTCCCCCTGGGAGGCAGATGGCACTGGTGGGCATCTCCCTTGGGGGCCAGCTTAACTCGGTGTGCACATTTTGGGGCCCATCCCATGCATAATGGAGGTGGTGGAGTATGGGCAGAGTGCCCTGAACTGAGCAAGGCTGTGTGATCTTTGCCAGTTGTTTCCCTCTCTGGGCCTTGGCAATTTCCTCATTGTAGGCTGGACTTCTAGGGCTGGCAAGAGGGATTCACTGAGATGCCCCAGGAAAGCCTGGCACGAGACTGTTATTGGGGCCTTGGGTCCCCTGTTGGTGGGAGGAAGGGTTCAGGCCCTCAGGGTCCCCCTGGTTACCTGGGGCTGGGGCTGGACATTCACATAGCCCGGGTCCATAAGCGACACAGCCAGATAGAGCAGCAGGGAGCCCAGCACAAGCAGCAGGAAGGTGAGGGGCAGGAGCAGCTCCCCCTGTTCTTCCCATTGCCGCAGCTCTGGAGAGGCCAGAGGAGGACAGTGAGGCTGTGGCTGGGGTGAACAGGAGAGTGTGGGGGAAGGTGCACGGGGGAGGGTACAGCTGGAGGTGGGCAGCGTGTCCCTGGCTGAGCAAAGGCTTGAGGATGGGGTTTGATGAGTGGTCAGGTGTGTCCTCTGCATAGGGTACAGGAGGGAGAAGTTCAGGGCCAGAAAAAAAAAAAAAGTGGTTCATCTGCACTCTCTGGAAGGCAACAGAGAATCATGGAAGGTTATAGGGTCAGATCTGTTTCTGGAAACCCTCTCCGTGAAGAGAAGATGGATCAGAGGGGAACCCTGGAGGCAGAGAGAGAGGCTTATCCAGGAGGGAGAGGAGGGTGGCTGGACAAGGGCCTGGGCAGGAAAGGTGGAGAGGAGCGGGAGGACAGATGGAAGGAAGGGGGTGAAGGGGCCAGACTTGACTGGGTATAGGGGAGAGAAAGGAGGGGTCCCTGCCCTTGGTTCCACGATAGGGAGACTAGTCAGGTCTGAGATGCCCATAAGACAGAGACACAGGAGGATGGGGCCGGCAGGCTCAGATGCTCTGATGCTGCAGAGAAGGCCACGAGGGTGGCCCAGGCCAGGAAGGGTCCAGCCCATGGAGGTGACAAGATTTTGGGGGGAGTGAGGGGCTGAGGTGTAGGGACATGAGACAGCCAGACAGCAGAGTGTGAACAACTCTGGTGCCCCTTGGTTGAAAAAGGTAGCAGAGAAGGAAGGGGGTGGGATCTTTCTGATGAGACTAAACAGGTCTTTTAGGCTAAAGAGTGAAGATGGTGGCAGAAACTTGAGAAGGTCTTAGGAGGAAAGAATGCCCCCAGTCCAGGGTTGAGGCTGGAACAAGGAGGGGGGGCGGGGCCTGCAGTGAGGCTGGGTGAGAATTTGTGCTGGAGGCAACCTGTGTAAACCTGGTAAAGAGGGGAGTGATAAAAGTGGGGGTGGGCCTGTGGGGTGAATGGGGGCTACCAGGGCAAGAAGCCAGGTAGGGTCGCTCCCCTACGGGGTATTCTCTTGCCTGAGGGTGGGAGCCTGGACTTGGGCAGCTAGTGGCCACGGGGCTGGGCGGGATGCCAATCCTAGATCTAGCTGATCCTCGGAATCTTACGGAGGGAAGGTTGTTTTGTCTTTCCCAATTCCTGGGAAGGATCAGGTGGGTTCCAGGATTAGGGGAGATGGGGGCTCGAGTTGGTCGTCAGATCTGGTGGGCACTGCATGGGGTCTTGGGATGGACAGGGCATCTGGCAGGGATCAGGAACTGCTGGGATTAATCAGGGATCGACTGGGTATTAGGCGGGAAGCAGGTGGCTCTTGGAATGACAGATGGGGAAGGGGCCTCAGGAGCTAGCGGAGATGAGGTGAATCCCAGGGTCTCTGGGGCTTCGGCAGGGGACCCAGTGAGACCCAAAGGTCTGGGGAACCACGCGGGATCGGGTGGATCCGGGGTCGCGCGGGGTCCGGCTCACCGGTATCGTGCAGGAAGAGAACCAGCGTGATTCCCCAGGTCAGCACGGTGTGCCCGGTCCGCACCAGGACCCCAGGGCTGAGGAGCGCCCAGGGCGCCATAGCCTCGGCCCGGGGCCCCACCCGGAAGAAGCGCCCGAAGGGGCGGGCCCTCCGAGGGAGAGGGGCCGCATCCACCCGAGGATTGGCGGATCCAGGTGGTGGGCGGATCCAGGTTGGGCTAGAGAGGCTGTCTATTGGATGGCAGATGCGGCCGAGTAGGCCCTCGAGCCAACAGGTGCCTGAAGAGGCCGAGGGCGGGGCCGGCGCGCGCGCAGCCAGTAACTTCCCCACCCCCAGTGCTCCCTAGCCGGGTAACTTTCGAAAGCCCGGGAGCGAGCGCGAGTGCCCATCCGGTTCCACTGGGCTCCCACCCCTCTCCCCACCCCACAGCCCTGCGCTTGCATGCCGTTCCCTAGGCGCTTCAAGGATCCAGGTTTTTGTTGTGACTCCAGGTTGAAGAATTGTGCCTGGTTCAAAGATGTGACGACTGAGGCTTCGCCCAAGGTTGCTCCGTGGTAACAGACACCCTTACCTTCTTGCTATTCGTTTTCAGTTGTTGCAAACGGGATGAGAGCAAAGTGGAGGTCCGTGGCGCAGATTCTGGCAGTGAGGGGCCCAACTTGGCTCAGGGTCAGACATACCAGCACTGCCCCTTCCTGCCTGTGTGAGCTTGAGCAAGTTACTGAACCGCTTTGAGCTCTCTTTTCTGGCTATATAATAGAGATGATAATGGTACCCTCTTCTAAGGTGGCTGGGAGGATTAAAGAATGGACGTAGTGTTTAGCACAGGACTGTCTAAGCAACACCTACGACCTGCCAGACTGACTTGTCCCACCCATGCTTCATCATTCACTGCTCACACTCCTTCAACCGGGCCCCCGGGGCCTTCCCCATTCAGCCCTGCCTATCCACCCGCACCTCACAGATACTAACATCCACCTTCTTTCTCCATGACATTGGCCCCCTCTCAGCTCCTCTAGTATCTTCTTCTGACATGTTTTTCTTTTTTTTTTCCGTTTCACCATCCCTTTTCTGTTGGGGGACTTAACCTTCCCCAATCCCTATTGTTTTTGAGGGAATGTGTGGGCCCCCTACCTCCAAGGGTTGGGGGGAGTCATATGTGGGCAAGTGACTCTAGAAGGCCAAACATGGGTCTCTATCTCATTCTCCCCAGTGATTGGTCCTAGGTGGTGGGCATGTGACTCAGCAGGGCCAATCAGAGTCACTTCATGAGAGTACTTACTGTATAGTGGCTGAGAGAGAAAGGCACTTTCGTTTGGATCTCAAGCATAAAGAATAGAATATAAGGGCAACTGGCATCTGTCTTTACGCTACGTGGAGAGAGACTGGCAGGAGAGAATGAGGCCAGCTTATAAAGAGAGAGATAAGCAGCACTAAAATGGGGCGTGAGAAAGTCTTCACATTGGCTGGGCCCCGACATCCAGCTATGCCTAAAGCTGATCTTAGCTCAGGTTCCCCAGTTGCATTAGACAATGAATTCCCTCCCACCTTTGACTAACCTGGTGTTTGAGTTGAATGTCTCACACTTGGAAGTTAGTCTTGATTACGGCGATGAGGCATGACAGCACATTACCGCTTAAGTTATCCTGAAACTTCTGTGAGTCAGTTACTGTGCTGGTGTCAAAGATAAACAAAGTCGGACACTCAGTGGTAAGGACAGATTTTAATCAGTAATATACTGTTGCAGTAGGATTGAGGGTCCAGCATGAACTGAATGTCGCTTCAATTTGTACAGAGGTGACTGGGCATTTTAACCAGATAAGAACAGACCGTACACTTGATTTTAGCCAAAAGGCTGAGAAGCGATTGGTGTCTGGGCATTTTATAGAGAAGGAACGGTGGGGGCTTGAACAGGCTCAGGGAAGTGAAAAATTACTGAGGGTTGATCAGTGTAAATGCTGACTAGGCGGCTGTGCCTGCTTGCTGGCAATAACTGGAGTTAGGCTTCTATCTTCTCACAGAGACTGGGAGACCGTGGCCCCATCCTCTCTGAGGATTACATTTCAAAGGAATGGTTTTCAGGTCCTTGAGAAAGACACTCCTGAATTGCAGAAGATACAGATAACATTTCAAAGGGGCAGAGAAAGGAGTCACAGTTATAAGGCCTTTTTAGTAAGTGCTCTAAGACAGGGTGGTGTGGGGGGCCTATGGCGAGCAGTAACTTCTGTTGGAGCCCTTGAGCTTTCTCAGGCAGGCACTGGAAGGGGGGCGGGTCATCCTAGGGATGCAGCCTTGAGCTCTTAGAAAGTATGTTAGTATTTAAGTCTTAATGTGAGGGGGAGGGAGGTGGATAAAATCACTGTGCTGAGAGTCTCTAGTCGTTTTTATAGGTCACGGTTGAGTCCTAATTGAGAAGAGGGCTCAGAGGAGCCTGGCTAAAGTTTAGTCAAGGACAGAATCTTTTTCTCTGGGCACTGGGCATGCACCCACCTGGAATGTGTGGGAATGGTCTGCCTTCATCTGGTACCAGCACCCAGACTGTTCTTTGGGGGAAAACCCTCCCCCAGTGGGTACAACCTCAGGAGTGCCTCAGGGGCACCGAAGGCACTGCTGATGGTCACACAGGGACAACGGGTGTAAACCAGGACCGCCCTGGGCAAAGCCAGAGTCTGGTCACCTCATGATTTGTCCCCAGCGATTTCTTCTTGCACCCTTGTTCCTTTACTGCTGTAGCCACACAGGGTGCTCCATGTCTCTCTGTAAGGCCCTTCGCCTAGCAGGGCCCTCTGTCTGGGGTGCTCTTCCCGTGGGCCCCCCACGGCTAGGTCTGGGAGCCTTGTCTTTCTGCTGCATTCAGCTCACAGGTCTCCTCTTGCAAGAAGCCTCCCTGACTGCATTGGGCACACCACGCTATCGCTAACCTCCACATGGGCTCTTACAACCCCTAGAAGTGGTGTGGCCCCACTAATCCCTACACACCGCCCCCAGCCCCCAAGAGGTGCCCTCTGGGCTCCCTTCTTCCTGTTTGTTGCACACCGTGTTGTAATCTCATACCTAACACTTGTCTTTACCATCAGACCAAACCATCCTGGGCAGGGGCCATGTTGGTCTGTGGCCAGCGGTACCCTCAGTGTCTGGACACAGAGGTGCAGAGAACATGAGGAAACAGGGACTCCAGCCCCATCGGCCATCTGTCTCCAGGCTGCAGTTGATTAGCTCTCCAGACTGGGCACACAAACCCGCCACACTCAAGGCCCACTGCCTGAGCTGGCCCAAGCCCTCTCCTGACCCCATCCCTTCCGCAAAAAAGACACTCTGCTCTTCTCCACTTTGCACAAAAATGTATTTCTTTGACATCCCAAAGTACAGACATTCATCCAGGCCCCAGGTGGTAAAGCAATGAGTTGTGAGCTCTGCCTGGGGTCTGGCTCAGGCCACATGAGCATGGAAGGGAGGGGCAGCTGTGGCCTGTCTGTCAAGCTGGGGGAAAAGCTGGGCAGCTGCCCCTGCCCAGGGCTGGGAGAGAAAGACTCCAGGAGAAAAAGGCCAGGTGCCTCTCCCCTGGGCTGCTCCTCTAGCGTGTTCCACCTGGAGGCAGAAGTGCTAGGAGAACCCCAAAACAGGCCCAGGGAAGGAGGAGGGAAGAAAAGCATGCCCCAGGGGCTGCCTGCGGAGTCACCGCGCGCCCTGGCCCCTAGTTCTGGAGGGGCCTCCTCACTCCTGTCTGTCTACCAGAAGCAGTTCGGCGTTCCGATGAGGGAGGACAAGAGATTCTGAGATACATTCGGGGCTCACGCTTCTCTGAAACACAGCCCAGAGGTTTCCAAGGTAAAGCCGGGGGGCAGGGCAGGAGGGTCTCCACTGCAGGCTGTGCCATGTGGTCTGGGGGTATCTGCCTGCTGCCTGCTGCGGGAAAGGCTGGCATGGGGAACTCCTGCCTATGAGAGATGTGGGGTCCTCTGGGCAGTGGGGCAGGCAGGGCGAATGAGGCAGGCTCAGTTCTGCTGGTGGGGTGCCTGGGCACCTTGGGTCTGTGGGCAGATGAAGGGCTGGGGAATAAGGGAGGAAGTCCCTGGCCCCAGAAGGTGCTGGCTTCCGGAGCCAGGGGCCGGTTCTGGGTACGTTTGGCAGAAGGGGCAGTGGAATCTGCCCGAGTTCTGACCAGCCCTGGGCTGGGGCCTTCAACAGCCTGGGACCTGGTGGGAGACTAGGAGGCAGCCTCCATAGCAGCGTGGCCTCAGGCAGGCCTGGCCAGAGAGCAGTAGGGCCACCGTGAGCCCCGCTTCTCAAGGGTCCTCTGGGGCTGCGGCTGCCTGGGCCTGGGCCTAGGCACGGCTCCCTTCCTTGCCCCAGATGGCCCACAGCCGGGAGCACCAAGGCATTTGGGAAACCCACTGGGGTTAGTTTTAATCCCCACTAAACCCCATCAGCTGCCCCCAGGACCCCAGATGAGGTTCTCAGGCTTTGGCGGGTGGGTTAGGGTGCTGAAGTGGGCTGTTAAAAGCCTGCTGCCTCTCCTAATAGGAGGCAAGGCCAGGGTCTGAGGTTACTGGGAAAGGACTGGACACTCACAATGTTAGAGGCATTTAGTCTGGCGGGGGGAGGAGTGAGTGTGGCAGCGATGAAGGCTTTGAGTTGGGGCTTGAGAATGGCCAAGGAAGCGGCAAGGACTCAGGGAGTGTTTCTTTTGTTTTTGTACAGAAATCATACACACAAAACTTCACACTTCCTAACCAAAAAAAAAATAATATATATATATATAATATATATATCTCACTAATGTTAAGGAAAAGCGTCGGTTGTGCAAAAGTCCCCTGTGTCCCTTCATCCAGTGGGAGGCTCCCGGGTGGAAGTCTGCCATCTGGGCTGCTTGAGTGCTTCCTGCTGGCCTCGTGGTCCAGAGCAGTGATGGCCGTAGGGGCGGAAGCCTCTATCTAGACGTGTCCATGTTCTCCTCTTTAAAGTTACTGCAGTGCTCAATCACCTTTCTGCAGACAACGGGAGAGAGAGGATTGGAAGGTGGGCTTCGGCCGGGGTAGGCCAAGTCCGTCCCGGCTGATCAGGCCAATGTTACCTAACAGTGATGCTGACTGAGATGGTGAGCGCAAAATGGCCGGCACGTGCCAGGAAAAGGTGCCTGTGGCAATGAGTTCCACCAGCACCCTATCTTCCTCCCCATGCATCCCCCCACCCCAGGGCATCTGTGGTTAGGGACTCCCCTGAATCAGCTCAGGCCTAACCTCCAAAACCCTCTGATCCTTTCTTCAGCAAAGTCTTCTTTCTCCATCTTTGCCCTGCACACCCAGGCCTTTTCTTCCCCAAAGTCTACTTAATGGTCCCCAAAGTGACTGCACAGCAGACATAGCCCGAGGTCTGGGTGGAGCTGGGGCAGCTGTGCTTACATGGGGCCGTATGCTACTGAGGCAGCCAGGCCTCAGCACAGCGTTTGGGAACCACCACTGGTGCTCAGACCCCGTCCCTCATCTACTCCAGTCTGGCCCCTGGGAGCTGCTGCCCCACTGCTGTCAGGCGTCACCCTGGAGCCTAGATGGCCTTCACATTTAACATGAAGCCTCTGGGCTGGTCGGGGCGCTCGCTGCAGGCTCTGTGTGCTAAAGGGACGCCCCAATACATTTTAGGAACTAAGGGACGCATGGAGTGGGACAGGAGTTGCTATGAGGCAGAGTGACTTCTCCTGAGTGCTCTCTCAGTATCACTCACACCTGCTGTCAGACAGGCCCGTTCAGACATGTGTGTCAGGTCTCACTGAGATGTTTACAGTGCCCGGGGCAGGTTAGGGGTCAGTCTTACCCAGCGCTTCTCACATCTCCTGGGATCCCTGCAGACAATAATTGTTCCTAGGCCCACCTCCCAGACCCGCTGGGACAGAACATGTAGGATGGGGCCAGCACATTTTTTTTTGTAGAGGGCAGTGTCACTGGCCTTCATATGTGAGATCCAAACCGGGGCCCTCTGGCGTCCCAAGCCAGTTCTTAACCACCACGCCACTCGGCCAGCCTGGGGCCAGTACGTTTTTAACAGTCTTTCTAGGTGATTCTTTAGGGAGATTAACTGTGAGAACCACTCATTTTACCATTCTCAAACTCAGACAACTCTGTCAATTAATGTTTAAGCGGTGCCTTTTGCCAAAAATAATTGCAGAAACAGCCTAGTCATGTGTTGGGAGCCTCTGAGCTTCAGGAAACCTCCTCCACAATACTCTTTATTCTAATAATACATCGTGTTTAGAACTGGGGTCCTGAAGAGAGCAAGGTCATTACTGCTGATGGCGATGTGCAGCATTCCTAAGTCTCCTGTGTACTGATCAATGTGAGGCCAGAACCAGTGATATTTTAGTCTATAGTGAAAACCACACAGCAGTGAAACTCCCGACAGCTCTGAATGGGACGTTCACATTTGGACACTCATTTGCACTCTGCCCGACTTGAACTCTAGAATGTATTTTACCACACTGTGTCCTCTCTTTAGCTGGAATGTCTTTGGCCAGAAATAATGAAAAATTCTGCGCTAACGTGCTGACACCCAGTGATGAGAGGGTGGAATTTCTTGGGAATAAAAGAAAACGAAGCTTACAAATGAGAGCAATGATGCTCCGTTCAGAGTTTGATCATCTAGTTTCTGGCCACACTGTGGCCGAAATGACACTCGGGGAGGCCCCAGCTGGACATCAGTACCCTGTCCACCTACATACTCACCTCCAAGTTGCCCTGGCGATTTCTGCCATTCCTGACCACCAGGGGGCCCCCACCATGTCACCAACTCCCCCAAATCAAGGCTCTGGCAGATACACTGCCTGGCTCTTACCGGGCCATCTCCTTGGTCTCCTGCCGTGCGGTCGCCATCTTGATCATGTCCCTCAGAAGGGGCATCCCACCTTCTTTGATCAGCAGGGGGCAGTACTTGTCCGCTGTGGGGTACGTAGTAGACAGCAGGGAATCAGGGAGGGTTTTCTCTCAGCCTGGGCCCAGAGACCCACCCTTGCCGCAAGGACTGCCCTCCCAGAGGGGTGGGAGGAAGGTGCAGGCCTGGGTGCGGGCACTGCTGCAACCCAGGATGAGCCATGTTTGCCCAGCCCCGAGTTCCCCTGGGAAAGGAAGGGCTGAATCCTTGGGAAAGGCTCTTCCCTATCTTGATACGCAGTAGCATTTTTCCCCCAGAGCTCACCCTTTGGAAAATATCACCCCAACCAGTGGCTTCTAGTCTCTGAGAAGTTTTTTGGGTTTTTTGGTAAAAACACAGATTCGTAAGCCTTGCCCTTGGATATTCCGATTCAATAGATCCACGGACCTGTATTTATTTGTGTTTTTAATAAAATATGGCCAAGTAATTCTGGTGACCAGCCAGGTTGGAACCACCATGCTTTCTTAATGGGTGGTTTCATGGTTCACTCCAACAAAGAACATTCTAGTGCCTGGTACCCAGGGCTTACACTCCATGGAGAGCACGGGCATTTCCAAGGACCTCCAGCAGCTCTGCATAGTAGGAGCTATTTTTATTATCTCCATTTTCCAGATGAAAGTACTGAGCTTCAGAGAGATGAAGTAATTCCGAAATCACTTGGATGAACTGTCCAAGGGCGTCCCGGCTCAGGGCTCCTGCCTCTGTGCGCCACTGCCTGCCTCTTTGAGGTTAAGGTGCTACTTTTTAGTAAGACTAACCTCAAATAATAATAGAAAAGGCTAATGCTTACTGACCAGTCAGTACATGCACATGTGTTGGTATGTGGTATGTTCTAAGCACTTTACATGTCTTATTTCATGGCAATCCTATGAGGTAAGTGTTATTATTATCCCATCTTAAAGATGTGGAAATTGAGACACAGAGAGGTTGAGAAACCTGCTAAAAGTAACACAGCCAGTGGTCGAACCAGGTTTCAAACCCAGGCAGTTTGCTCCCAGAGCCTGCACTCTTATCCACACTGCCAGCTAACAGGACTGAGCAGTATCTAGGCATCGGGCTTGGCACTCTATGTTGCTTCTCTTTTCACATCAATCTTATGGGGTAGGTGTTATTTTTACAGAGGAGGTAACCGAGGCCCAGAGAGGTTAAAGAAGCTGTATGAGGTCACATAACCAGTAAGGGAGAGAACTAGGGGTCACACCTGGCCTGCCATAAAGTCTTTTTCTTCTCCCCCAAAGCCACCGAGCAGAGGACAGTTCAGGCTCTTCTATGGGAGGGCAGGACTCTCCTTGAGGAGATAAGATTTGTTTTAAAGTTCTCTCCTGTTCTCTCAATGTCTGTTTCCTCAGGGTAAGTTCTTTGTTTGGGTGGGTCTTACTCTGTCTTACAGAAAGCATGGAGATTTTTGACTCTTCACTCATATGGAGGCAGGAGGCATTAAGAGAGCTGTCTGGTGACTCTGGACTGGCCGTCTTGCTGCCCCGCCTGCTCTGGCCACGGTGCAGAGGCCAGCCCTTATGCTGTGCTACCCACAAATGCTGGAGCGTGGAGGGCTGTGCTCTGAGGCCCAGATATGGATGCCAGCTCTCTTGGGGCTCCCCACCCACACTGGAAGCTTCCTGAGGATGCTCTGCTTTCAGCTAGGTGAGTGTCCCCGAGTCTGAACAAAGGGCGAGTGAGTACTCACGGTAGACAGACACGAGGTTGTACAGGGCCCACGTGGCCCAGTGCTGGCTGACAGGGGAGATGCCCTGGGGAAGGAGGCGAAGAATTGGCTCAAACGACCTGTAGGAAGGGAAATCGGGGTCATCTCTGGTGCAGGGGGAGGAGGGAGTGCATCTTGCTGGAGCTTCTCCTCTTTGGAGGGTCCTACGGCCAGCAGGATGCAGGGGATACGGGGCACCTGGCCCTTCAGCCCACTTCAGGCTCCATAAAGGGAGCTCCCTTGTGAGAGAGGTCAAGAGCAAGGACGCGCCAGGGAGGTAGCAGGGGCGCAGATCAGGTGGTGCAGAAGCTGGGGGCCTGGGCAAGGAAGACAGACCCAGCCTGGGGGTGGGGCAGTTAGTACCCCGGGATGCAGAAGAAAGTGTGACTGCACTCGGCCTTCTATGGGCCATCTGTAGTCATGTCCAAAAGCCCGAAAAATGTACGTGCAAACGCCCAGACCGGTGATTTTGCTTCCTCTCTGCTAGGGGATGACATAACTGGAGCATCAGCAAAGCCACAAGCATGAGTCCGTTCCCCCAACACGGGTTTTCAACTTCAATGTCAATCAGTACAAGAAAAGCCATCTGCACATAGAAAGTGACCCAGTCATAACATGATGAGGGAAACGCTGACCTATGGTTGGAAATTCAGTCACAAAGATAGTATGACCTGATGCCAGCTGGATTGAAAGTAAGTATGTCTGTGTGTACAGCTGCTGGGAGGGACACACCGGCAGGTTAGAGGGGTTTCTTTCAGGGAATGAGATTATGAATGGCTTCTGTTTTGTTTCCTCCTGCGTGTCTGTATATTCTCCTCCTCCCACATCCCCACAAACAAATGTTATCAGATGTGTGTGAACAGCAGGCTTTGGATACATGCAGGTGTTGATGTGCATGACACACGCACCAAGCAGCAAAGCTGAGGTGCACGCCTCTCTGCTCCGTGCTGTATGTGGACTTGGCCTCAATAAGACAGAGCCGACAGAGGGCTGGAGGAGAGGCGAGAGGCTCTGACCGCACCGTGCTGGCAACAAGCGCCCCATCCTAGCATCACCCCGCCCTCCCCACTGTGCACCTGTAGTTGATATTTCTCCGTGAGTTGATGTCCCAGCTCTGAATGGCTGCCCACATGCGCTCCTCTACCTCTTCCCGCTGGGGCTCACAGATGCCCCAGGCCTCAGGCCCATCAAACATGATGTGGGAGAGGACGCCGCAGGCATTGTAGGAAACCTCAATTCCATCAGCCTTGCTCTCCAGCAGGTTGCTGCCAAGAAGAGAGAAAAATGGAGTCCAGTTCCCTTGAAGTCCCTCTTCAGATACCAGCTGCTGGACCCTGACTAACAAAGCAGATGCCAGAGGTACTACTGATTTCTTTATCACTTATTGTCCATACCCAGGTGACTTCTAAAAGGCACCTGAGGTCACTGAGATGAGATATAGCTTAGAGGACCATTTATGGAGGGTTCAAAGACTAAGAAACCACATTATAGAGGGAAGGCGGCATTTATAACAGAGACCTAGGCTAAGAGCAG